CTGATCCAGGAAACAGTTTTTATGCTCTGCTTTTTAATAAAATGTTAACCTAACCTGAAGATATAAACAATGCTTCAGAAGAAATGTGGGTAAAGTGTAAGGACTGCCAAATTAGAATTAACTGAGAAAATCAAGTGAACGACAATAACAGCTGGCTCATCCTCTCATCCAAGGGTGAGAAAAGGGAGTGAAAATGTTCAGCATTTTTACTGTAACCATGCAAGGCAGAGTCTTTTATCATACTGTTTGAGGCACCTTTTATTTTGCCTCCAAGGAACAAAATTCTTCTTAAGAATTGAGTACTAAAAAGTTTGGTTTTTACTTCTTTTCAAAATATGAGATCTACATAACCTTTCATACCACTGAACTTTACCAAAAAGTCAAAAACTAAAGTTTGTTTTCAACTACAGTGCTATCCAGGTCCTATTGCTGATAAGGCAAACACTGTCTACCTGTCACCCTCAATTTTTATCTCTTCAGTCTTTTAGTTAATTGCACTTTGTATCATTTGTCTCAAATCCTTTACAAAAGGAGTAGGGGTACAACTGATAAAATATATTGTGTTAAGAGTGAACACTAGATGCCAAATTTACAAATTAACATTTTAAAAATACAACTGATTTAGTGTATTAAAAGCTATTAATACAAGTTGCTACTGGTGCCAGACTATGAACTAATCTTAATTTGCAATGAAGTTAAATTCTTTAATGTTTGGGCTCAATACCTCCTTAATCTTTCTAAACTAGTTTTGAAGGAAAGCCTAACACTCCAAAATCTAATCCTCATTCTAAATGCTCATCTCATTTTCATTGTCAGTAACCACCCAAATCCTCCACAGTAATAGAAATGAGATATTGTGGAATCCTAATACAACAAAAAAGAAATGTTTCTTATTGAAACTGGAGTTAGGGATTATGAGACTTCTCAAAATGTACCATAAGTAATAGCCTGGAAACATTTTTATCCAAGTTGTTTTAAATAAAATTTCAACCACCAATTGGTTTCTTTGAAGTTCTTAACTTTTACAAAATTATCTATAGTCCCCATTAATCATAAATGCAGAAAGAAAACCCAAAAATATTTTAGAATTTAAATCATTTAACTAAATGGCTTACATAAAGTTCTTTGGGCTCAGAAGAAAGAAAATCAAAACTTACCTAAAGTCGTTAATTTAGCACAGCTACTTTTACTTGCATCATCTTCTAAGATTCGATTTGTGCTCTTTTCTTTCTCAAGCAAAGTATCCTCCAAATGTAAGCATTTATCAGAGACAATACTGTCTTCACCCATCGCATGACTAATTTTGCTATTAGCTTCAAGTACTGAAGTGACGTCTTCCAGCTGAGCAGCTTCACTAGTTTCAGAATAAGAGGAACCCTTACCCTGGGCTAAATTCTTTGAAGAAACTGGTAGAGACTCATCATCACTATCAAATCCAAAAGGATCACCAGTATTTTCTTCTTCCATCTTAGGTTTCTTCGGAATTTCTTGGATATCTGGTTTGAAATTAGGCCTCTTTTGCCCTAATTTAGCCATAAATGTGGTCTCTCCCCATTTTGTGCTAAGGGTGGTCCGTTTGTTGGAAAAGACTTCATCAAATTTTGAACTGCCATTTCCTCCTTTCCTACTGTATGTTTTCCCAAATCTGGATGTCATTTTGACACCTGTTTCATATTCTCTGTGGGGAAAAAAATGTAAGAAAATATATAATCATCAAATACTTAAGTGTTAACACTGAATTTAAAAATAAGAACCTAAGAATTCTCCCCAAGTGGCTTTTCAACATTCAAGATAAAATCTTTAAAAACTGTCAAATAAATATGGAGATAGAGTGTAAAGAGAGAGGCTCATTTTTTACTCTATATACTTCCACATGTCAATTTTTTTTACAATGAGCACATATTCATATGCTACTTACAAAGTAAGACTAACCAACTTATAACTCAGCATACACAAAACCAATTTATAGTGGGGAATGTTCACTTTTTAATGCTTCAAACCAATCTACTTGCAATTCTCACAAACATCACTTTTGCCTTAAAAAAATATTAATAGGGTAATTACCCCAATATAAAATCTTAAACACAAAATGTTCATTTTTTGCAGGATCTCAGAAATATCAAATAGTTGACTAAATTTAGTTTTTTGAAATTTCAGAGCACTTATTTATATTTTTTTCATGTATTAGAACCTGCAGCTTTTAACCTAACCTTAACGATACTGATTCTTGGTCAAATGTAATTTAAAATGTGACTTGAAAAACAGTCCTTAGTTGGTCATTTCCCTAAGCACAAGAAACTATACTTATTCTACCTTCCTTGTCCCTATAGTGCTGTGCTCATTTGCCGAGTTACATTTTCTGGAGCTGTTGGACTCCAGCATATTACAGTGGCCCATGGATTATTAAACGAAGCGGTAACTTACCTCTTCACATTATAAAAGATAAACTTATTCACCTAATTTATCTACACTATTAATAACAAATACTGGGACAAAATTTTCAGAACAGTAAATCAAGAGTCAAACATTTTTAAAAACAAGTTACAGCACTTTTTTAAAGACTATCAATTGTTACCCATTTCTTACACTTTGACCTAATGTTTAAATATCAATATATAAAATATAACTAGAAAAAAATGAACAATTGCCTAGAGGTTGGAAAAAAATCTTCCTACTTTGAAATTTACAATACAACTAGAATATGTGACTTACATTTCTGAATGTTTTGATCTATAAATGTTTTCCCTTTATTAACTTAAATTCTTGCAATTTATAATGAATCACAATAAACTTAGTTTTATATATATTTAGTGGACTATTTTCCCTTCTCACGTTTGGTTAAACAATTCCAATCTGACAAAATAATATAGTCATCACACACATCTGCATTAAGACTACACAGGTTTGAAGATCTTTTAACATGCCTAAGGGAGTTCTATTTCCCCTTGTAATGTAGACCTACACTAAGGATCTTGTCTTTCTTAAGTACAGCCTAAACAAAACTAAGTATATTTGGCAGCTACAAGTATAACAAAATAATTTATTTTTATTCCTCCAAGAATGTAAAGCCCTGTTGTATAGACCCATTTATAAACACCAACAAAGCTGGAACTTCATGGATACACTTACATGGTAATGACCTAAAAATGCTGACTAAAGGCCAAACCAAAAATCTAGACTTGGGCTCCTTTACGTATACACCAGAAAAACTCATCGCAAAAATGGTCCCAGAACCACAAAGCATTCACTGTAGCAAGCTGAAAGTCTGCAGGTGAATGTTTGATACTAAGGAATTAGTTATTTTAAAAGATAAAAAAAATCATAATTTTTTTTTAAAAAGTTCATGTCTTTTACAAATGTATGCTGAAATATTCATGAAATGTCAATGACTCGCTTTGAGTGTGGAAGTTAAAGCGTGTAAACAAGAAAAAGTTAATGTAGAGTTAATAACGTGAATCTGAGATGAATACATGGGAGTTCATTATATAATATCCCTACTTTTCATTTCCTTTATAGTTCCCACAATGCATTTTTTAAAAAGTCTCTAGACAGATTATTGTGATGGCATTTTCTAAGCCTAGAATGTAAAGTATGTATAAATTCAAAAATTAGTGTGCAGCCATACTTGACACATTTTAAGTATATTTCAAGTAAACAGGCTATCTTGCTCAGGCTTTCACTTCCAAAGACTATCATCCTAACTATGAAGGAAAGAATGATTCAAAACCAAATTTTTTCGGTCGCTGGGCCTTTTCTTTAGCCCAAAGCCAGGTCGAATTTTCAGGGAAGTGCGCTGGGATAAAAAGTCCTCACACTTAACCTCCGTTCAAATCTAGAGTCTTTTGGCTCCCGCAATGGCTTAGGGGCTTCTCTTAAGGCATGAAGCCGGAAAGGGCAAAACCAATCACCCAGAAATCCTCACCTGCAGGCGGTCGTGCGCCAAGGGGTACCGGGAGAGGCGGCCCCCCTCCTGCTGGAGGATCACGCAACTTTTCTCTTCCCCGCCCCCACCGCCCAGGAAAGGGATGTTGCTTCCGACGCCCCGGAAGCCTCGGCCACCGAATCCCCAGGGCAGTGTAAAGGCCTCTGTGGCGACCAGGGACAGAAAAAAAGACGACCAAGGATTTGGGGCTAAAACCAGCACACTCGACCGCGCTTGGGGAAAGAAGTATATCAGCAGCCGCCCAGAAAGAACTCAGAAAAAGGACAAATAAAAGAGAAAAAAGAGTTTATGCCGTTCCCCTGCCCAACTTCCTTAGAGGCCGGTAGGTAAGATAGCGAGACTTCCATCACCCCCTGCCAGACCCCTGCCTCCCCCACCCTCACTGGCTCGCTCCGGGCCTAGGCAGCCACCCGAGACCTTACTTACCCTCGGCGCCTGGCCGGTGCTTTGGCCTCGGGCCGCCTCCGCCTCTCCCGCCCCCAGCTGCCCACGGGCGGGCGCCGGAGTCCCGCGCAGGAGAACAGGGCCGGCTGGTGAACGAAGAGGAGCAAGGGGCTCCGCCACCGTCAGAACCCGCGACTCTACTCGCGGTAAATAGGAACCCGGTGGAGGGGGGGAGGAGCGGCAGCACCGCAACTTCCCTCCCCGCCTTGAGCGCCGCCAGCGGGCCTTGGCCTAGGCCTCCGTGGCCACCGGAGCCCACTACGTGCCTCCGCTGGGCCGCCGCCGTCTCCTGCGCCGCCGCTTCCGCCGGTGAATGGTCAGCGCTGGAGTTTGAACAGGGCCCTGAACCATCTCAACGCCATTTGCGCTCCCGGCCCCCCACCTCCTTCCTCCAACAGCCGCTCGCTCCGTCACTCCGCTTCCCACAGGCCCCGCGCGGCCGCCCGACCCCGCAGCCAATCGCGCAGCCGCTTACTCAAACCGCCGCGCAGGCGCCGCGCCCCGCATGCTCGGGCGCCCGCCATTGGTCCGACCGCGGGGCACGACGGGAGTTGTAGTCCCGGTCCGCGAGGTCGTGGGTGTTGAGAACTCCGCGCGCGATCGGGAGACGGGCGGACTTGCTCCGCGGCCATGGTTTCCCCCCGCTCGGGAGCCAGTTCCAGCTCCTGGTCCCGCCCAGAGTTGCAGGTGTCGCGGGGGAGGGCTGGGGGCGCAGTGCAGGCAGCTGTGTCAATCGTTTCCCCTCCAGGGACACGCCAGTGTCTTGGGACGGTGGGTTGTACAGCTGCGCCGGGCCTGCTTGGGCCGCCGCCCGGGAACGGGGAGGCCGGGAGCCCGCGGCTCGGAGCCGCCCTCGACCGGGCCTAGTTGGTGCAGGTAACGATAGCGGGAACGGGGAGACCCGGAACGCTAGGCACCCGACAGCTGCAGCCACGAGCGAGGGAGGCCGCGTCTCTTTAATGCGCCCCCTCTGGCCCCTCGACCCTTACCTTCGTCGTTCTCTCTCCGTCTGTCCCGGACCTGTTAAAAGTGACCCCGAGAATATTGGATGGTATTAATGAATTATCATCAACCTTTTTGGGTGATAACGGCAATGCGGTTATGTATTTTTTAAAAAAGTGTACTAAAGTTTTGACGGATAAAATGTTGTGGTCAGTCTGGGATTTATTTTAAAATTACTCATAAAAACTGGAGGAAGAATAAAACAAGCCAGCGAGATGTTTTTCATTGTTGACGCTGTGTCATGCAAACACACCGGCTCATTATTTCAGTTTCTCTGACTCGTACATCTGAAATTTTCCATAGTAAAAAGTTTAAAGAAATGAACCAGTGATTGCCTCTGGGGAAGACAGGGAGGTGGGAGGTAATAG